TTATTGATTCTTTGAAGTATTTCTCAGGTAGTTTGGATTTTGTTCATGAACTCTCTGCCTACCCCTATGTCTTCAAGATTTTTACCTACTTTCTCTTCCAGTAGATGTAGTGTTTCTGTTTTAATATTTAGATTTTTGATCCATTTTTACTTTAATTTGGTACATGAAGATAGACATGGATCTAGTTTTAGTCTTCAGCATGTGGCAAACCAGTTTCTCCAGGACCACTTATTAAAGAGACTATCTTTCTTCCAATGAACTTGTTTGGCCCCTTTGTCAAAGGTAAGGTGGCTGAATGTGTTTGTGCTTGCGGCTGCATTTCACTCTGTTCCACTGATCCTCAGGTCTGTTTTTTTGCCAGTACCATGCTGATTTTATTAGAGTAGCTTTGTAGCATAACTAGAAGTCAGGGATTGTGACGCCTCCTGCCTTGCCTTTGCTGCCCAGGATTGCCTCTGCTAATCTGGGTCTCTTCTGGTTCCATATAAATTTTAAGAATGCTTTCTCTAGATTTGTGAGCTATACTAATGGTATTTTGATCAGGATTATACTGAATCTGTATAACAATATTTGGAATATGGCCATTTTCCCATTTGGTTCTTCCTATCCTTGAGCAAGGAATGTCTTTCCATTTTCTGAAATCCTCTGTGATCTCTTTTTTCAGAGTATTGTAATTTTCACTGTATAGATCTTTTACTTCCTTTGTTATGTTGAGATTTCAGGTGTGTAACTTCCACGTCCTCCTGTGTTGATGTCTCCTGGACTTGTTCTGGGTGGGGTGGAATTCAGAGGTTGCATTTTGCTCCTTTGTCTTGTCATTTTCAATGCAGGTGGTGGAACACCCAGCCTTACCCTTCCTGGGTAGCTCACTGAAGATCCCAAGCATCCCTAGGTTTCCCAGGTGTCTGACTTGCTCCGTGATGACAGCAGGAGGTGGGTCTTGAGCTCACTTTGCAGCCCAGGCTGTTTTTGAACTTGCAAAGATCCTCCTGCCTCAGCCCTTGAGTGCTGGGATTACAGGCATGCATCACCATGCCTGGCTTCTCCTTTCAATTCTTAAACTTTTACATATCTTTAGTGTCTTCTTATGGTAGCCCCTGAGTAGGTGTGTTTGCTGAGATGTACCTTGTAACTCTTAGGGAATTTCCTTTTAATTCCTAGGTGCTATGTATTTTATCATGAAGGCATTTGAAATCATCAGTGCTCACTTTTTTCATCTCTTGATACTTAATATG